CCTAATGGAAAGATGTCCACAGCACAAAATCATATGGCAGTTGGCACTGACTGACACCTTTGTTAGCATTCTCAAGAGAGAACCTAAAAACTGAGTGGACATGGAGAGTAAAGTATGTTCTTACTCCCAGGGGTAGGTCCCTCCAGGTGAATGTAGAAGCACACTGGATGGCTTAGGGAAGCTTGCACTGCCCCTGTGGTACCTGGTCTGTGGATAAACAGAGAACTCCAATCTCCAAGGCTGTCCAGCTGATATCTTTTCTAAGCACTTTTACATGTGGAATTTGCTTCACAAATTAATCAGCTTCAAGCCCACTTGTGTCTTTTTTCACTTCCTCCCACTTGGGATACCGCACATTCACTTGGACTGATGAATCTCTTCTCAGTACTGCTCCCACACTATGTCCACTCTCTGCAGACTGTGCCTGTGTAAGATGCATACCACATGTGTGGTTATATAGTGGTTATTAAACAGAAATTCATAAAGGCCCTGAAACACTGCATGGGCTTATGGTTGTTCCTAAATTACTGCTAAATAAAGATCAACAACATTCTTGCAAAGCCTAAGCTGCATGCTGGGTTTCCAAAATATAGAGAAAACTAGAAAGCAGCTCTTGTATATAATAGTTACAGCAGCCATGAGTTTCCCTTGTCCTTGCACTATTTATTGAGTTCACCCTGGCCACAGCTTGCTGGAGGCAGAGGAGACTATTAAACCTCGGAATATTTCTTTCTAGTCAGACGGAGAAGGCTTGGGAGAAAGCTCCCTCTTTCTCCCAACCATTGTCATTTATGTAGTTGTAGGGGATCTATTAACAAGGAAACGAGTTGGTTTACACTGCAGATTGAACGAAGGACTAAATGACTGCATTAGAATGACTGCAGTGGGGGAAATGGTCGCCTCCAGTGGAAATGTAATGTTGCAATGGTACTTTTCAAAAAGGTGCAATCATTGTTCAAATGCCCTTGTCTAATTTGTCACAAAAGTTGTCCAGGGCTTCCTTTTTTTTTTTTTTTTACATTTTACCTGCTACAGCTAAGGCGGAAGAATACGCTGCAAATAGATGGAAGGGCATCCGTCAACCTCCACACAGATCAGATGCTCTTTAACTGAGTCTATAGCCCTAGGACTGGGTTCGGTTTTGCAAGGAAGCAGCTCGTTTACCAGTCAAAATCAAAATAATAAAAAGGCATAAGGTCCCAGTCTAGGCTACATCGCTCTGCCATATGGTCCTGCCAGTCATTTAACATGGATCTTGTGCTGAGCAGGTTGAATGTCGACCAAACAAGCAGAAACGTAAAAGCATTTCTGCCTTTCTTTGCTTGGGCTGAGATGTTTATGAAATGACCTCTCGGCGATTTCCATGTTCCTGTGTTGGAGGAGGGGGCAGGGGTGGTTGGGGGTATCCTTGTTTCTAGTTCATCCGAGAGGTCGCTCTCACAGTGTTGGAACAGGAGCTAAACACGGATCTGGTGAGTACGATTCCGATCTCAGACAAGAAGTTCTCCTTTTCATAACAATCTCTCTCGCACAGGCTAGTCACAGCCGCTGGTAAATAACATCGAATCCCCTCCCGGTTCATTCGTGGCCGTTAAGTAGCACTTTTAAAGCAGCTCTGCCTTGGAAGACGCCTCTGTCTCCCTTCTAAGGGAATCTCCCCTCCCTCCTTGAAGATCCCCTGAGCCAAGCAGCGCGGAGTTGTTACCTGACACGCTGCTCCCCACGCTGGTTGATTGCCATCCTTAGCCTTGTGATTTGACTGCAGTACCCTAAATCGAAATGGCAGACTTTTAGCATCTAGAACCCTAGGGATTGTCCTCTCCTCCTCCATCCCCCCCCACCCCGTGCCATTTCGCCGCCTGGCTGCTGCTGAGATAAAACAGCTGGATCCCCACGCCCGTGGGACACGGGGAAAGGATACAGTGGGGCTGAAGGGAGATATCCCACCTCCAGTGGACTCAGGGAGGATCCAGGCAGGGATTGCACTGTGTGACATCCTATCAGGAAGGAAAAAAGACACGCAGCGAGAGCAGCTCACCGCTAAACTCCTGGGGACCAAATCCTTTACTGCTGCATCCGAGGGGACTCCGATTTAAAATAAAAAGGGGTGTCCTTAGAAGCTTCGATCCGACAGCGACTGAGCCTGGGAAGATTTGGCGCACAATGCTCTGTATTGTGATACTGTAGGCGCCATGCAATGCTTTTCTATTTGTATTCATCCAACATTCCCTCCTCCCTCCCCCCCCCCCAATTCATCTGCAAAACTTGAAGGTAGAACCACTTAAACGGATTACAAGCCTTATTCGGTGCCATTGCTGAAAGTTGCTGGCCGCGGGGGAGTGAAAGTACAAGGTTATGGCATTAGGGATGTAATACATCTTAAAGAGTTCGCCTGACGCCGCCTAGCCATTCAGAGCAAATCTCGGTGAGCTTTTAGCACTCCGCATGGATCGGTATTAACCGCGATCGTTTGCTACTTTCCTAATGAAAATCATTAGCGCAGGATAACTTCGCCTGGTGGCACTGTTCGGGACTTGCAAGCGGCCTGCGAAAAGATCTATTGACATGGCAACGTGGTGTGGGCAAAAATACAGACCTTTTGTGAATGTATTTCAAACCCCAGTGCGTTGCTAAGGCAGCTGCGAAAGAGAGACCCCTGGCAAGAATAACAGAAATTCTCATACAATCTGCTTCGGCATTTCTTCCCTCTCATTTCTTTAGAGATCTAATAAAACTGTGTTCACTTCCCTCCCCCAACCTTTTTAGAAGTCTCAAGTGCATTTCGCCTGACGGCACCAAATTTTGCTCCTGCAAATGAATGATGCAGCATTTTCATTAGCAAGTAGTGCTGCTTCCACATTGAAATGTTTAACGAGCGCTTGGGATGTTTAAAATCATATGGGGAATGTTACTGATCCGACAGGTATGGGAAGCGGGCAGGGAGAGAGAGGAGGAGGTGGTAAAGGAATATGGATGTTCCTATTAACAGAGTGGGCACTAGCACCCTATCTGGGAGTCAACAGGGAGTGATCTGTGCTCCTGACAGCTGGGCTTCCCCCCTACTAACTTTTTTATACCAACCTGCTGCCTCTTCAAGGATTCCAGTCAAGCCTCTCTCCACCCAAACATTTGGAGCGGAGAGGGGGACTGTTAGAATAGCAATGTTAAAGGTTTGGTTTAAGGCTGCTGTGACTCTCCGGACCTAGGGGTTTATGGCTTCCAGAAGGGATGGTAGATCCGCCCCCTGCTTGGAGGCTCGCTTGCAACTCCCAGCAGAGGTGGGGTGGTGGAGGGCAGAATGCCACGTCCATTTAAAGTTAGGGAGCGAGCCCCTTTCCTGGTGACTGTAGAGTGTGTCTGTCATGTGCATGCCATGCATGTCGTAGTGAAAAAAATCAGCCTGTTCAATAAAGTGTACGGAGTGTATTAAATCTCGCTACACTAACTACGTTGCCCAGCGCTGGGAAAAAAATCTGAATTTGTGCTTTGAAATGCACAGACAGGGATTGAGACGTGTATTACTGACCCAATCGCCCCTCTGTTGCTTAAAAAAAACCTTCGCCCTGACAACCGATCTTGCCAGCTAAATTTAAGCCAAGGGTAAATTTGGACAGACTCTCGAGTCTCAGCTGCAAGGCGCTCCCTCCAGTGATCTGCTACCGGCTGGCAGCTCTTCACTAACAAATAATCTACTCCCGCCCACACAGTGTCACTTTCCTTCGCCCCGGTTTCTCAACAAAACTGTATTACCTTCTTGCTGCCTCTGTCGTGAAAAGATGTCAGCTGAGTTGTATTCTCTTCCCGGATCCAGTCAGCATCGGGCATGGTTTTCTTCTCGGGCACACACCCCCCCCACACAAAGCCAGACCGAAAAATCGTGCGGCAGTTAAGGAGTTAAATCCTCCTCTTCGCTTTTGATGCCTTGCTCGGTGACAGAATGCAAAATGTGCCGTTGTTACCCAAGTGATTCCGGGTCTCTTCCCAGCGATTTGCTTTGCCTCCTTTTAAAGCTGGAAGCGAACAGGAGGCTGTTGGATCCTGGAGAAGATTGAAGGCTCGAGCTGCAGCACAACAATAAAAAAAAGGGGCGCTCGTGGTGCAAAGGGATCAAAGAGAGCGAGGAAATGCGAGGAGAGAGGAACCACCTTGTTCAAGTCACCCAGGCTGGGGCTTCCCGAGCTCTCACGTTGGGACATCCAGGTGTGATGATGGAGAGCGGCTACCTATGGCTCTGCATAAACTAATCTATTGGCTTTGCAGCAGGGTCTGTGCGCGGAGAGGAACCTATCTGGGGGCGGCTGGCCAGAGATACATTTCTCCCGATGATCTACCCGCAGCACGAGCGCCTGGCTGGAATTTGCAGTTGGCAATCGGGGGATCTTTTTCCTTGAGAGTTGGGGTGAGGGGACTGTGGCTCGTTTCTGGAGGCTGCTCCTTCCTTCCTCGTTCTCCTTGGCTTTCCCCCGTCTGATTATCCCCCCCTCCCCCCCCCCCCCCCCCCCCCCCCCCCCCCCTCCTGAAAAAAAAAACTGTACAGTCAGGGCTTCCCAAATGCGCGCCCCCGACCTGGTGCCAAGCGCGCCCCCTTCATTTGTTCCCCTTCTTGAAGCTCATTTTCATGACGTGGAAAAGCCTGATCCAGGGCAACAACACCACACACACACACACACACACACGGAGAGAAAGAGAGAGAAGCCCGAGATTCTCCGCTGTGATTGAGCCTCCCTCCCTCTCCCTCCCAACGATGTGCTGCTGGTGCCCAGAGAAAGCAGCAGCCCCAGAGCTGGGAGCCTGCAGCAGCCCCCTTCTCCTCCCTCCTCCATTGAGTGTGCCAAACAGCAGCTCTGCATCCTAAAGAAGCTCATTGAGGAGCTCATTGCATTCCCAGCACGTTTCAGGCTTGCTTGCCTTTTTTTTTTTTTTTTTTTCTTTTTCCTCCGCCCCTGCAGGAGTAGAAAGAGAGAGAGAGACAGAAAGAGACAGAGTGAAACCAGCAATCCTTAAACTCGAGCTTTTAAAAATTGTATTTATTTATTTATTTTTAGATGTGCTAAAATCTCTCCTGCAAACCGGTAAGTACAAGCGTTCTGGATCCTCTTCTTTCTGCCTAGCTTCAAAGACACCCCCTCCTCCCCCATTGTCTCCCCCCCTCCATCATTTTTATTATAGCCCTTGCAGAACAGAAGGAACTTAAGTCGCTGTTTTGCAAAAGAGACAGAGAGGACTGACGGATACTGCAATATAGCTCTCCTTTCTCTCTCTCTCTCCCTTCTTCCCAATTAGATCATGGTTTTAATTGCACAGGGTATTTCTCTTTTCTCCCATCTCCCCTTTCCTACAGCTGAGGGTTTCATTTGCAAGTTGATCCTAAGGATTTGTATCCCTTTCCCATTTCTCTCCCTAAATGCGTCTTTCCGATTTTAAGTTTGTGCGGGGAAGGGGGGTGGGGGAGGATTCTCTAGCTGTACATTGGAAAGGCAAAGAAAAAGGTCATTTTTATTGATAAATTAGGACTAAAATCAACGATCCCTCCGAACAATTTCAATTTGATATTTCACTGACTCAAGAAGGGCTGCATCACCATCATTATTATCATAATCATTAACGTTTATTTATCCCCAAACATTTGAAATATCTGGCAAAAGGAAGGGGAAAACTGTATCTTGGGGAGCTGCATCTCATTAATACAGTATTTGTTTCCTCTGATTGGAGAAGAATGGTGTCTTCTTTTTGAAAGGTAGACAGTAGGATAGATAATTTATCAGCTGGTGTCAAGGTATTTTTCTTCCACTTTCAGCCTTTTTAACCGGGTCTCTTGGTTGGTCCTGGGGGCGCAAAATCCTTTCTAATAGGAAAAAAACCAGGCTGAGCATTTCAGTCCGAAATGCTTCTTTAGCTGTCACTTCGCCTTAGATCTGATGATCGCATGGGCATGTGCTTTAGAAAGATTAATCATCTCGAAATGCTTTAATCAGCTAAAATGACTAATATGTAGTATGTATTAATCTGATAATATACCAGTAGCATTAATCCATCAGTGTGTCTGGAAGGGGGAGGTTTTATTTTAAATCACGGTTGTTAAGCATTATTAAAGACACTGTGAGAATTTCTAAAGGAAACTGTTAGATGAGGGACATTTACAAACCCTGCACATTCCTGCAAACTTACGTATAGAATATACTGAGCCGGTGCATTGGATATCGGACCATTGCAATCTAGCAACTTTGGGAGGGTTTTTTGTGTGTGTATATGTATATATAAAGGATGTAGTATGATGCTGGTGAAAGATATCCACTGATATTTTCTCCTGCAAGATTGCAGGTTATGATGTGCACAGAGGTAAGCCTGCAAATAAGTGTTTTTCTAAACAATGGTCATGTGGTGAAAAATATGTATATATGCAATATGCTCAGTCTATATGTTCATTTGCTATATGGTATGTGCATGCTGTTTTCATTATAGATGCCATTTACTAAATATCATATCGGAAGGGAAAATATGGCATCTTATGATTAGAGATTTCTATAGCTCTTAAGTCTGAAACCAGCCTTGAACATCAAGCACTGCTAGAGTTTGTTTTGAATGTCTACCCAACAATTGCTGAACTTTCCAGGAGCCTAATAAAAGTCTAGCAAGAATGGAGTTTATTAAGAACAGTGACTTGACTAAATACTAAAATTCTGCATTTTTATTTCTGTTACAGTTTTGTAATCAGCCACAAATGATGAAACCTTCCACGGCAGAGACTCTCCATAAAGGAAGGATGTTGTCGGTAATTCTTCTAAGCACAATTGCTCTAGCATGGACTACACCAATTCCCTTGATAGAGGACTCAGAGGAAATTGACGAGCCCTGCTTTGATCCATGTTACTGTGAAGTAAAAGAGAGCCTTTTCCATATACATTGCGACAATAAAGGATTTATAAATATTAGTCAGATAACGGAGTCGTGGTCAAGACCTTTTAAACTTTATCTGCAGAGGAATTCCATGAGGAAATTATACACTAACAGTTTTCTTCATTTGAACAATGCTGTGTCTATTAACCTTGGGAACAATGCACTGCAGGACATTCAGACAGGAGCCTTTAATGGGCTCAAAGTTCTGAAGCGATTGTACCTGCACGAGAATAAATTAGACATTTTCAGAAACGACACTTTCCTGGGTTTGGAAAGTCTGGAATATCTGCAGGCAGATTATAATGTCATTAAACGGATTGAAAGTGGGGCATTTCGAAATCTGAGCAAACTCAGAGTCTTGATCTTAAATGACAACCTTATCCCCATGCTTCCCACCAACCTATTTAAATCTGTGTCCTTAACTCATTTGGACTTGCGGGGAAACAGGTTAAAAGTCCTTTCCTATCGAGGGATGCTGGACCATATTGGCAGGAGCCTGATGGAAATCCAGCTCGAGGAGAACCCTTGGAACTGTACCTGTGAGATTGTGCAGCTGAAAAGTTGGCTGGAGCGCATACCTTACACTGCCCTTGTGGGAGACATAACCTGTGAGACCCCCTTCCACTTCCATGGTAAGGACCTGAGGGAAATCAAAAGGAGTAAACTCTGCCCCATGCTGTCTGACTCCGAAGTCGAGGCCAGTCTGGGGATTCCTCAGTTGTCATCTAGCAAGGAGAACGCCTGGCCTACTAAGCCTTCCTCCATGCTATCCTCCTTCCATTTCACTGCTTCATCTGTTGAGTACAAAACATCCAATAAGCAGCCCAAACCCACCAAGCAGCCCAGAGTGCCCAAACCTCCCCCTACATCCCGAGGCCTGTATCCTGGGCCAAACCAGCCTCCTATAGCTGCCTATCAGACAAGGCCCCCAATCCCCATCATATGCCCTACTGGGTGCTCTTGTAGTTTGCACATCAACGACTTGGGCCTGACAGTCAATTGCAAGGAGAGAGGATTTCACAACATCTCCGAGCTCCTGCCCAGGCCCCTGAACGCCAAGAAGTTGTACCTGAGCGGCAATTTGATACAGAAAATCTACCGCTCGGATTTCTGGAATTTTTCTTCCTTGGATCTCTTACACCTTGGGAACAACCGTATCTCCTACGTGCAGGACGGGGCTTTTATTAACCTGCCTAACCTGAAGAGCCTGTACCTGAACGGCAATGACATCGAGAGGCTGACTCCGGGCATGTTCAGGGGCTTGCAGAGCTTGCATTACCTGTACTTCGAGTACAACCTGATCAGGGAGATCCAGCCCGCAGCCTTCAGCCTCATGCCCAACCTGAAGCTGCTCTTCCTCAACGACAACCTGCTGCGGACCCTGCCCACCGATGCCTTTGCGGGTACCTCCCTGGCCAGGCTCAACCTGAGGAACAACCACTTCCTCTACCTGCCCGTGGCCGGGGTGCTGGAGCACCTCCACGCCATCGTGCAGATCGACCTCAAGCTCAATCCCTGGGACTGCACCTGCGACCTGGTGCCGCTCAAGCAATGGATCGAGACCATCAGCTCGGTCATCGTGGTGGGGGACGTGCTGTGCGCCAGCCCGGAGAACCTCACCCGCCGGGACGTGCGCTCGGTGGAGCTGGAGGCGCTGTGTCCGGAGCTGCTGCACGCGGCGGCCGCCTCGCCCGCCCCGCCAGGGGGCAAGCCCAGCCCCACCAGTCCCTCGGCCTACGAGCTCTCCCCGGCCGGCGCCGCCGCCGTGCCGCTCTCCGTGCTCATCCTCAGCCTGCTGGTCCTCTTCTTCTCGGCCGTCTTCATCGCCGCGGGGCTCTTCGCCTTCGTGCTGCGCCGGCGGCGCAAGAAACTGCCCTTCCGCAGCAAGCGGCCGGAGGCGGGGGACCTGAGCGGCATCCACATGCAGTGCCACCGCTTCTTCGAGGAGGGCGGCCGGGTGGCGGGCGGCGGTGGCGGCGCCTCGCCGGAGAAGGCCCACCCGGTGGGGCACGTCTACGACTACATCCCCCACCCGGTGACCCACATGTGCAACAACCCCATCTACAAGCCGCGGGAGGAGGAGGCGGAGCGGGAGGAGGGCGGCGGCGAGGCCGGCGAGCGCCTGGGGGGAGGCGGGGCGGGGGAGCCGTTCGCCGAGCCCGGCCACCAGGAGAACAGCACCCACTACAGGACCTTGCTGGAGAAGGAGAAGGAGTGGAGCCTGGCCGTGTCCAGCTCCCAGCTCAACACCATCGTGGCCGCCAACCAGCCGCACCACCACCACCCGGCCGGCGGCGGCGGGCTGGCGCTGGCGGGGGAGCTGGCGCTGGCGCCGCCCGGCTTCCCCCACGAGAAGAACGGCGGGGTGTTGCTCTTCCCGCCGGCCGGCGCCGGGCTAGACAGAGAGCGGCCGCCGCTGCCCTGCACGGTGGGCTTCGTGGACTGCCTCTACGGCACGGTGCCCAAGTTAAAGGAACTGCACGTCCACCCGCCGGGCATGCAGTACCCGGACCTCCAGCAGGACGCCAGGCTGAAAGAAACCCTTCTCTTCTCGGCCGGCAAGGGCTTCACAGACCAAACCCCCCCAAGCGAATACCTCGAGTTAAGGGCCAAACTCCAAACCAAGCCGGATTACCTCGAAGTCCTGGAGAAGACAACCTATAGGTTCTGACCCGATAGCTTTTCTCCCTTCCCGCCCCCGCCCCGCCAGTAGCGCCCCCGGCCCCCCTTCTCCAGCCCCCGTGCCACCGCATGATGAGAATAGAGAATACAGCTGTGTGCTCTCCCCCACCAGAGGTGTGTGTTTGGAGGAAGGGCCGTTCTCAGATCATTAATCAATGAAGTGCCTTCGCAGACTTGCCAGCAGATGTTAATCATTATTTTTTATACTGAAACTGAGACTTTGACTGTGCCATGTCTAAGGTATATTATTATTAATTATTATTACTACGGGGATCTTTGTATTGATCCTAACTAAGTAAATTCTATGTCTCTTTTTTTTCCGTTGCAGTAAACTTTTTACCTTTTTTTTTTTCCCCTGGGGGTAGGGGGGAGATGGCATTTTGTGGCTTTCTTTCTTCTTGCCCATCATGGCACAGATCCTGTACATTTATTTAAAACAATCAAATGCAGTTTGCTGCATGCCTGGAAACTGCAAGGGGGGAGGGGCGGGGGGTCTTGTTCGAATGTTCTCTCACTCTTGTCTCTCTCTTTCACATGCACACACACGTAGACGCGTCCACACAGCTCCCCACCCCAGCCGCCAGTCGGGTCCCTAGCCTCTCCGATCGGCTCCCCTTCCGTTCCTCTCGCCCTTCCCTCCTCTCCTCCTGGAGCGGGGGGGTTCCATATCCAGTGTGAAGTCATCCGAAACGAAGAAGCCCATTGGATGTAACCACGTGGCGCACGCACACACACCTAGGGATGATCAATGACACTTCATGACGCCATGAGTTTTTGGAGGACATCCGCACTTTCTTATTAAAACAAACCCATACAAATATACAAAAAATAATAATAAAAAAAATTCTGGGTACCTATCACTAACGGCTTTGTAGGAAGCACTTTTAATGTTTTCTCTCTCTCACACACAAAGATACAAACAACAATGTGCATATATTTATTCTGTAATTTCAAGTGAATATAAATTGTAAAGGTAATGTTTAATCATTCATTGTACAGTGATGCGTCTGGTATAGCTTTCCTAATAAAAAGTTTTGAAAAAAATACATATAGATATATAGAGGATACAAAGCTTGAACCTAAAATTTCAGCTTACCCTCCCCCTACCGATGATTACTTCTCCCACCTTAATCCTGAAAGCTATTTTATTAATCACTGTTCAGTGCACTGTGATGTTAACAGGGAAAAAATCTGTACAACTTCTGCCACAGTACCACTTAGGACTTTAAAAAATCCGATTTGAAACCTGTTTTTCTTCCACATTGCACTGTAACTATGTCAGAGTTTCTTCTATTTAAAAATAAGCATCAGAATTAACCCAATTTCTTCTACTAATATTGCTAGTAGAATCTGTGTTCTGCTACAACCTAGGAGAAAATAAGGCATTAGTATTACAACTTTTCAGTGTTTAAATTCACATCAATTATATAAGGCAATGAGTAGAGATTGGAGAAAGGCTTAGATGTACATTTGAATATTTGATACAATTGCACTTGGAATGTTCTTTCCCCTCGTTTGGAAAAGACTGAAACAATATGGGAAACTCAGGCCCAATAGCTGACGTTTGCTGGGTCTCTCCCTTGCCTTGTTGCAATCAGAACAACTAGTGGGGTTAGGCTGATTTTACAAAATGTGTGTCATTAAAATGATGCTGCAAAATAGACTTGCCGCGTCACCCAGTTTACAACCCACTTAGATCTGAGCGAAACCAAAGAAAAACGGGTTTTTCTTTTAAGGTACTAGCTGGTATCTTGTTCCTGGTAGATCTGGATTGACACACACAAAAAGCCGAGGGAAAGCTTTGTTGGGGGAGTTACCCAATGTGGCCAGTAGATGGCGCCGGAACTCCAGCGATCGCAGCAAGGCTGCAGCTGAGTTGTGCCGCCCGTCCGGTACTTTCCGCTTGGACTCCTGAGTCTGTCCTTAATAGCGTGAAATCGTTACGTTGAATGTAATTCACCAGACGTCACTAATGCCTTACATCAAGCTAGGGAACAAATTAAATGGGAATGTGAATGTCAGCTCCTTAGCCGTGCAGTTACGCCGCTGAGGCCCTGTCCTAAAGATCTCAAATAATGAATTTTATATAGAAATATCAAATCAAAAATATATTTTGTGTTAATAAAAACAACAATCATGGCAGTTTATCAAGGTAAATTGAAAAATGTTTCCACTGTATTAAAAAAAAAAAAAAAAAACCCTGTATCTAATGTTCTTGTCCCTTTGGGCATTTGTTATGGGACTAAATGTCCATTCATAAGTTGCAACTTTTTGGATTGGGTGAGGAAAGAGAGCCTATGTTTGCATGGACTGATGTGCCACATCCATGCCAGCTGTCCTGGTCAGGAAAGGCTGCTTCCCTTTCTCTTGTGTAACAAAATTATTCAACCCAGCACATTGTAGTCCAATGGAGTTAAAAGGTGGATGTTCTCCCCAGATGGCCCTAATTATAGGTTTGGCAGGTATGCACAGTACAGGCTCTCTGTCTGTCTCTGAGAGCTATGTGGAGGAAGTAGAAAACATTTTCTGTGAATCAATAGTAGCCCTCTGGACCTTAGAGATAATGCGGGGCGGGGGTGGGTGAGGGGACAGCTTCAAAAGTCTGTAAATCTTTGCATCACCTCCATATTATTGGTTAATGTTATGAACTTCCAAGTTGCCAGATCCCTCTAGTATTGATGTTGGTTTCATTATTACTGCATTCAGCACTAATCTGTTTTTAATGGATATTAGAAAAGCATGCTGGTATTTACAAAAAATGAACATCAAAGTGCAAGGCTAGATTCTTCTGATGATAATCATTATAATTCCATTGATAATGCTGCAGCATGCAGAACATGGAGTATGATATGTCAGGTTAAAGTACAATCCCTGGTGTGACTGGTGCTGTATACATTTGGGGGGGGGAAGCAAAACCTGAGTGTTCATAAATCATATCAAAGTGTAAGCTAATCATTATAAATAATGTTTATATTTTATTTAAAGTACAAAAAGGCAAGAGCATCTTGACTTAAATAGAGGTAGCAATTTCACCTGCACATGGTGAGGGAATCTATTTATTCAGTGGAAATAAATTTATTCTATGAGAATGGAATTTTGTATTAAAATAGAGAATTTTTTGGCTTATATTGAGTTATTTTTTTTATTGTGTAGGAAACTTATTTTCTTGTGCATTATAAGCTCTTTGAAATCAGTTGGGGGAGAATATCTGTGGAAATGTTCAGAATATTTAACTGTGATATCTGATATGTGTAATATGATTATTCTTATTTTATTTTATTTTATTTTATTTTATTTTATTGTGATAAGCTGTCGATGGGTGGATGGTAAAATTACTGTCCACTTCAGAAAACAAATGTGGATCTGTCATATCTGATCTGTGAAGGGAGACTATTCATATCCATCAACCTGAATGAACCTAATTAATAGGGATTATTTATCATTATTAGCAGTATTATTCATAAAATTGATACTATTTGGAAGGAATGAAATAAAATAAAATTATCCATATTCACATAAGTGATGTTTAATGGAACAATATTTTAAATAAAAATACTTTTTGTAGCTTAATTCAGTATTGTATTGACAAGTAGTTGACATCAGGTTAATGTATGTGCTGATGCTCAGAATCTTGTGGTAGAACATTCATCATATGGTTATTTTTATTCACTAATTTACTATGTTGAAATTCTTCCGACAGGTGAAAGGGAAAAAAGGCCAGGTAAGTCACAGTCATAGCTTATAATAAATGTATAGCTAGAAAGGGAAGATAACTAAATGTTAGGGTTCCTCCCCATTTCCTAGGACTTTTCATACAATTCTTATAAAGAAAATCCCACTTAAAAAGAAGTGTTTGGGCCTGGGAAATAAAAGGTCTCTCCTACTGCATCAACAGAACAGAAGGTGTTTATTTCTAATGGTATGAATACTCTTCTCCTAACGCAAAATCTGAGTTCAGTAGGGTATTCCTTCTCTAAAAGTCTGTCCTTGTAAGCCAATAAATGTGTGTTATAGTTAGGTGAATACCATATATACTCATTCATAAGTCAAATATTTTTGGTAAAAAAGTGACACATCAAAGAGCGGGGGCTTATAAACGGGTCTACACCAAAATTTGATGATTTTAACTCTACGGCAGGGGTCGGCAATCTATGGCACGTGTGCCAAAGGTGGCACACGAGCTGATTTACTGTAGCACGCTGCTGCCAGCCTGGTGTCCCCGCTGCCAGCCCCACTCAGCCCGCTGCCGGCCTGTATGGATGGAACCCCAGATTGGCAGCGGGCTGAGCGGCTCAGCCCGCTGCCGGCCTGGGGTCCCAGCCACCGGTTCGCTCAGCCTGCTGCCAGTCTGGGGTTCCATCCGCCGGCCCCTGTAAATGTAAAATGTATTACTGGCACGTGAAACCTTAAATTACCGCGAATAAATGAAGACTTGGCACACCACTTCTGAAAGGTTGCCAACCCCTGCTCTATGGAATCATTGAATTGAATATCTAATACATTGTCATTTTGTTTACCTGGAGCAATGCGCTCCAGGTAAACAAAATGTCCTGACCCGCCAGTGGCTTACTCTGATGGGCCAGGAGCCAAAGTTTTCCAATCCCTGAAATATAGGGTCGGCTTATGAAAGGGTCATACAGTTTTTGCTATTTTTACCTATCCATTTTGGGGGGTCGGCTTATAAACGAACGGGCTAATGAACGAGTATATTAGGTATTTCAAAGGGGTCGTTTATGAAGGATTTCAATGGAGTTGGTTGCCAGAACACAGCCTTTTCAATTCAAGATTATGTCAAAGCACTTTGAACAAAAATTGTATGTTTTTATTATTTCTTTCTTTATTTTGTGATTGCAGTTCATTTAATTTTGAGCTAGAAATGTACAATAGTGGTCAATATTGTTAATTTGTTAGCTATAAACATTTAAGTCAGTGGCACACAACATTCACTACAAAATGTCCTCCTGAACTGCCATAGGTTTCTCAAGCTCTACTGCACGTAAGCAGTAATTCATGAGTGATATGTAAATTAGAGCTTGC